TAAAGTATAGAATTAGTAGATTTATTTATAACTTCTACTATTTTAAGTATTTTACCTTATAATTTTAGGTTAATATTCTAGTTAAGTATTATGTTTCTTAATTATTTAATAATTATACGAATTACTCTTTTAGTTATTCTATTCTATTTAGGAGAGTATGGAGTAGTTATCTCTTTATTAATACTAAACTCCTTAGTATATACTTCGATCTTATTAATTATATACTCCCTACTTCTACCAAGATACTACTTTTTAACTTTAATACTATATTATGTATAAATATATACTTAGTAACTTTTAATATAATCCTAAGTCTTACTTTTCTTTTTAGATAGATATACTATTTAATATTAAGATACTTTATCTATTACTAGTATTCTATAGTTATAACTACTATATACTAAAGAAGTAATTTTAAAGATATCTATATATATATATATATATATATATATATATAACTGTAAGCCTCTTAAACTTAAGAGTTAAGATCTATAACTTTTAGTTAATATCTTATAGATTTTCTAGTTTTATAAAAGTTATAAAGTATTTCCCTTTATACTAGCGTTAGTATTATTTATATCTCTATATCTTTTACGATCTTTTCTATAACTTAAACTATATTAAGTCTAGAATAAGCTATTTATTAATAATAAAGTTAGAGATTAGGCCTTATTTTCTAAATTATAGTAGACGCGAGAATAGCTATTATATTACTTCGTAGTAATTTAGGTAGGAAATCTAGTATTAAACGTAGTTATTAGTATACTAGGTACGTATAAGGTACTCCTATAAGATAATAATCGTTATTAAGTAGACCTTATAACTTATTAATAGAACGACTCTGAAGTTAACTACTACTAATTATACTACTATACTAATTAAATATCTTACTAGAGTATAAGTTTACTTCTTTATTAAGAATCTAGTAATAATTATTTAATACTATCTTATAAACCTTATTCGTATTAACTCTTAGGTATAATATAATAGTTCCTTTACTTATAATCTTAACTTTACTTATAATCTTAACTTTACTTATAATCTTAACTTTACTACTAATAACTTAAGTATTCTTAAGTAACTTAACTTTTAAGTTTTAGAAGTATATATGGTTATAATAAATATAAGCGTTAGCCCTATTATTATAAAGGAACTTAGCTCTTAGACTAGTTTTAGCTATACTTAAGTAATAAAATATTATACTATATAGTAAACTTATATATAAGAATTACTCCTTTATATCTTTATTATTCGAGTCTTCTTTTTTATCTTTATTCTTATTAGAGTCTTTTTCTAAAACCTACTTCTTACTAGTCTTCTTTTCTATTTAGTATATTATTTAGGATTAGTCTTAAAACAAGAACTATATATAGTACTATTATAGTATTTTTTATATTTCTTATAATATCTATAGCTATTTCCTTTAGCCTTATTTTTCTTAGAGTTATCTTTCTTATTAGAGTCTCTACCTTTATTATTATCCTTATCCTTAGTATCTTTACCTAAGTATATAACTATAGTACTAATAGTAGACTTTTAATAGACTTTATTAAAGATATTATATTATAATTCCTCTATTAAGAGTAACTTAATAGACTTGTTTAATTCTATTGAATAAGCGAGGGTCTATCTAATATTAACCTATACTAGAAAGGTATTCTTAAGTCCTCTAAAGAAGATGATATATTATACTTAGTTATTTATTATATAGCCGAGCTATAAGATCTACTAGTATAAGTTATTAAACTTATTAATAAATTTAGTTAGATTATTATATTTCTTATAAATATTAGTCTACTACTTATTTATAAGGCTATATAAAGTAGTATTCTTATTACCTTAATACCTAGATACTAATATATCCTATATCTCTTAGGTAATAGTATATCTAGTAATAATATATAAAGTATTTCTAATATAATTAGATTAGATAGCTTATATAGCTAAAGTATTATTAATTTTATACTTTATCTAAGTATTAGTTTTATTCTAAGTATATATTAGTCGAATTAGTAGGTATAATCTTAGGAACTATTTTTAGAACTATATAATCTAGGTAGATTACTTCTTTAATATTAAGTTATTTTAATAAGTACTCTAATAATGTTCTCTATTCTATATAATTAGATTCTCTTTTAAGCTTAGCCTTATTAGCGAATATAAAACCTATACTATTCCCTATAAGGAATATAAAAACTATACTATGAGATAGGCTTATACTTAGACCTAGAGATCCGGGAAGAGAATCTAGTAGTAAGGATAGGTTTAAATTAGAATTAGAATTCATTATATTTAGGTCTTATTAAATTCGAGATTCTAGGTCTTTAATTCCTTAGTAGATCTTATCTACTAGGTTTATAATTCTTAGTTATATTACCCTAGATTATTCGACTATAGAGAGGAGATCTTAAATTAAAGGTATAGATACTCCTCCTTCTTATATAAGTAAATAGATAACCGTTTAGTTACTTTTACTACTACTTTTTAAGCTTATATCTAGTACGTCTAGATTCTTACTTGTTTCTTATAGAGGATCTATTAAACTTTCTCCTAGTTTAGATATAAATTATTCTAGTAAGTCGTATGAATACTCTCTTTTTAATATATATAAATAAATAGATAATTAAGGACCTAAGTAAGCGTTCTAGGCTTAGAACCTATTATTAGTAATATATAAGTAGAATACCTAGAATACTAGTTTTAAAGTACTAATAAGAATTATATTAAACGAGTTACTTCTAAAAGTAAGAAGTAAGAAACTATAGACCATATATATAAAACCTACTCCTTTGGACTACCTATTTTAAAGTAGAGTGGTGGAAAGACCATGTCAGTATATTAGCTGACAACAGTAATTATTATCCAAAGATATCTAAAGTATCTAATAAATTCAGATAAACCCACACTACCAGTAAGAAAACAAATTCAACACCTCTCTTACCTAATAAAAAGGCGGTCTGTTTTCTTCAAACTGTATCGCTTGCTCTCTGGGTACTAGCACATCATTTCCCCTATCTTCTTTCTCGGTGTTTTGTTTAGCCTGGTACTTTATCGTTCTAGTTCGTTCCAAGCATAATAAACGCGAAATTTTGTAGGTATACAGGGAATTTTTTGTTGTAATACAGGGCAAGATATCTGCTAGAATTTTACGTTTATTAGGCCTAGGACGAAGTGATTGTAACTTTCTAAGGGTGGTTTCAGTGAAGAACAAGGTAAAAACCCCCGTAAAGTTGCCAGTATTATGCCTAGGACGAAGTATACGGTTATTAGGCCTTTGAGCGGCACCGCTTCCACCACTCGTCCCTGGAAGCCAGCAAAAGCTACGAATGAAATCCACTCGGGAATCATTTGTCCCAACAACTGCTGTGTAGGTGAATCGTATCCTACTGTGGTTCCCACGTGACTGGTGTGAATCACAATATCTCATATATATTCGCAGTTCGTTCTATGAATATCAGCCAAATCTTGAAAACGTGTGAATTCAGGACGAATCTCGAATCCACCACTGTATATTGCGTTGAATGAGTATGTAGTAGCTACACACGTAGGCGGTACGCGCATCGCACAGGGGCTGTCCCTGGATCTTTAACCACTACATCTTAGTTGCCGAATTATCGGAATGGATGTGATCGCTCAGCAGGGTGGCGATGTTCCTAGGATTGACTCGGTTTCTGCTTCGAGTGATGGTTTGACAAAAATCGTGTCCTGACGAACAACCTGTTCTTTCCTGGTAGATGTGACATTCAAGGTTTGGTTGTTGGTATACTGAAGTAGATATAGGTGCTTCATAGAAAGAGTTCTGTGAACGAAAGCATGCTAGCCAGATTCCAAGAATGTTTTGCGGAACCCCAGACTCGAGGCGTGGTCGACCTGGCCACTGGTATAGTCTCGTTCGCGACTGCGACTGATGATCCAGAGGCGATCCTACCTAAAATGTAGGCTTCGTGAACGTATTCGTGAACTTACTTTATTGTTTCGCGAGGCAGAGTTAGTGAAATGTCGGAAAGTACAAAGTATGAGTTTCCATATAAGAATCATAATAATGCACTAACAGGTTAGATCGCATTCTTCGTTGATTGGGTGGCATCGCACTGTATCAGTAATCGCTTAATTCAACTCGATATCTACCTTGTTATGATTAACGTTATGAGACTGAGTTTCGAAGAGTCAAAGTTAAGCTCGTCCCTCTCCAGCTAAAACTCGACCTTTGGCAGGAGTGACATTAGTTCGCACCTTCCCTTGTACTTCGAAGGACCTGTACGACTTTCTTACCAAGATGGGTCTGGCAAGATAGTTTGTTTACTAGCGAAAACAAGGTCCAGGTCAGCTTAAATTTGGGGTTATTCTAGCTCGGATAACTCCTAGATACCTAACTATCAAGGTGGTCGAAGGACTACCTAGATCCACGTAGAGTTATCTGTAAGCTTAGCTACTGCCAATAACGAAATTTCAAAGATATATTGTTAGTAACTGAAACCTGCGACATATGAGCAGTGAATAGATACGATACTCTGAAGTGATTCAAAGTTGGTTTAGCGATGCGGCGATACCATTAGCATTTTCATGTCCATGGCAATAGCTCCTGGGAACCTTGACTATTAGTAATCAAGCTTTCTTCATGATCGCAAAAGGGGTCTAGTAATTGGTTACCTCGCTTGTCGGTCTAGTTAGTTGTTCAGAACCATTTTATACGATTTCGAAGCTAAGAGTTCACAAGAATAATTATATATTAGCCACATAGGCTATGGGGGAGGGGAGGGGAGGTAATAAGTGTATTCTACATAACGTAAAAGTACTACCGACGTTCAGCCGTGAGAGTATCCGAGGCATAGATCGCGTCGTCCCAACGCGTTAACTAAGAAACCCAGGACTAACCTTCACTTGTCCCCCTTACAAACACTCTCGCGGGCATTCAATTGCACTAACTCGACTTCTGAAATCCATTCCGGCTGTTCCATAATCCTCCAAATTCCATCGCGCATCAACTCCAAATTAGCAAAATGCCTCCGCGTCCTTTTAAACCACCACGGCCCTCCGCCTCCTCCCCACCAGAACCCCGCGCAAAATCAAAATCTAAAGCAAACCCCAAATCCAAAACCAACGCAGGAATCAAGAAATCAGTCCCTAAGAGGAAATCCCCACCAACAGATACCCGTCGCGATTCAGGAAGATCCCTAGGTCTCCCCTCTCTCTCCCCCGACTCCGATGACGCCCCCGTCGAAGAAGAGGCAGAAGAGATAGAGGATACCGACGATCCATTCGCATCGCAACAACGAGCACCGGCTGCAAGAAAAGAGCGGGAGAAGCCGAGGGAAGAGGAGGAGGTGCGGAAACAAGTTATACCCCAGGATTTACTAAATGTGTTGTTGCATTCGCATTTTAAGGGGGAGACGAGGATAAAGAAGGATGCTTGTAGTGCTATAGCGAGGTATATGGAGACTTTTGTTCGGGAAGGGGTTGCGAGGTGTATTTGGGCAGGTAGTGGGGATGCGGAGGGGGGCGGGATGCTTGAGGTTTGTTGGGTTCCTTGGTGCTGCTTCTTGAGCGAATGGAATATAAGGAGCTATGCTAATTTGGGTTTTGGTATAGGTTGAGGACTTGGAGAAGTTGGCGCCGCAGCTTTTGATGGACTTTTAACATACCAGAAGGATGTAAGACATACTGGGATTGGAGCTACTGGACTGGCATCTCTATGTTGTATGGAGTATGGGACGGTACACGGTGTTGAAACTGGGATACTCTGACTATACAACAGTATACCGATGGTATGCTTGATTGAAATCTCCAAATAATGGATTCTTACTCAACTACATCGAAAGTTGAACGAAACCCCCCACTGTATTGGGCTAGGTTTTGGGAGATCCCAGCATGAAACACAAGACACTCAGCAAAGCAACGTTTCTCTGCTCATCACGCAGCTATTGGGAAAGACATAGGGAAATATCCAGCCTCCATTCAAGGCTGTTTTGGTGTCTGATAATGGTATTAAAGCAAATCCAATGAGACCTTTTCGCAATCAACCTGTTGTCGCTCTGTATTGTCAGTTCGCGAACTGATCGTATCTTGTTTTGTCGTTGCTTAGTGGAAAGCCATCGAAACCGCATCATCTTTGGAAGAAGCTGGCGAGATTAACGAGAGCTACCACCTGGCCGCTACTTATCTATGCCTGTGAACGGGCGCTTATAAGTCAGCACACCCAATGCACCTGCTCTCAACACGCGTTGAAAGAGCGCAAATGCGGTTTCTCTTATGGGAATCTTGGACTGCAAATTAGCTCTAGTTATAACCTTTCCCCCTTTGGCAGTAAGTTTTATAGTCATTATCTCGTACATAGCTGCTACCTTAGAACAATATTGCTGTAAGCCTTACACAACTAGAATAGTCATACGAATGGTTTGGGATAATTCTTACATTCCACTATTTATTAAAATTCATACAAGATATTTAGTTATATTGCTTCTGCCAGAGGTTTTACATGATAGTATTCTGTAGTGTAAGAGGTGAGCGTTACTCTGTACACCCTACTAAACGTTATTATGCCAAAAGTCTGGCACAACGTAATTAATTGTCCTATTTTACCTCGTTTAATGAGGAGTCAAAAGTACTAATTGTTCCAAACTATTCGTATAATTGATTTAGTTGTGAAAGGTCTTTAGGATAATATTTTTATAACTCGGGGGTTTACGGAGTAATGCCCGCCTCTCTTACTGTACAGAGTAATGAATAAGTTGCTCACGCTCTTTTCTATTATGAGCCTAAAGTTTACAATCTTCTCTCTTCTTGTATGTATTACCAAAAGGGGTTGCTCGCTTAATAGTCTAGGCAGCCGTTTTGCTTCTCGGAAAAGCGAGCTTTCTGGGATGCTACAGTATACAGTGCCCTATATTTCAGCCCTCAAAGTGTATCTAAATCATTTTCATTCGATACATCAGCTTGTGGGTTTATCGCAATCCCTTAGTAACGTTAGTACATGGTCTCCTATCAGGGACTCATCACCCAACCACGCAGGCTTACCTGGGATGTTCTCGGCTGATATATTTGAATATCCGAGTTTATCCATAACACTTCAAAATTGGTTCGCGGCTGCTAAATAAAAAATCTTCATCTAATATGCGGCAAGTTCCACCCATTTCTCCCTTTTCGAAGAAAATAGCAATTTGCTTTATAGTGTTTGAATTCGTTTAATTCTTGCTTGCACCTGGGGTTAAATTTAGACTACCGTTCTTTTCACCGCCCGCTTTACGAGGGATCGCTGATGGGGAAAACCCGAAGGCAACGATATTTGTACTTCTAAGATTTGTTGGTGATCGTGCTTTGGATTCTGAATTTAGTAGTGGTAGTGGCATGTTATTTTAGGGCACAGGAATACGATGTTATCTTCTCGCTCTTTTTCTGTCTGATGGCGACTCCGAATGTTGCCTGCCTAATTAATCTTTGAGAATGTTAGGGACGGCTATACTAGTTTTCGATTTTAGATTAATTTCTCGAAGGGTTTAGTGGTTGCCTTCTGGGATGATTGAAGATAAGAAGGGTTATCGATCCGGGGATTCCAATCTATGCGAAGGGGCAACAAACTCGAACCACTCACAAACTCCACAATAGTATCTCTTTCACAAACATAACAACATTTCACTCATACCTCGAAATCTTCGCTCGACCTCCTCACCACTGAACCCAGTCCCAAACATCCAAAATGCAACGCCTCACCCTCCTCATTCCCATCATCTCCCTCCTCCTCTCATTAAGTACGTCCCCTTTACCACCCCCACTACACTTCACTATCGCTAACAAACCAATCCAACAGTCTCAGCCTCAGCATGCGTTGCAGGTGGATTAGCAACCCAAGTAACTCAAGTCGGAGCATGCTGCAAATCACTCGCCGGCACATGGTACCAATTCTACCCCAACCAAGCCATCTGCGTAGTAGCCGACGACAGATTGTGGGCCTACAAATCGTGTGTGGGGAGAGTTGGATATAGCGACTTGGATACGAAGTGTATCCCTGGGAATGGTGAGGGGTTGAGTACCGCCATTGGGACGCCCACTGCGTTTACTACTGGGAGGGAGACTATTACTGCTGCTGCTTGAGATACGATGAGTGAGAAGGCGATGAGGAACTGAAGGACGTCTGCAATGGGGTTTCTGTTGAAAAGTTTTGTGGATTTATTAGATTTCTGTTGCTTGGGGAGGGGAAATTTGGATTTAGATGCTGTGCTTGAATTATTATTTGCTATTATCAATTTATCCGTTGTAGAAAGTCTTTTGGTAAACGTAACTTCCGTTATTGCAGTTTCTAACATGTTTCGTTGATGCCTGCTTAGCTAGTATACTACCAGGTCGAAAGGTCGTACTTAATGTTTCTCCGAGTGCTACTCTTTTTAATCATGCTCTACATTCGAGTGCCCTCTACTTACCCCGGTACATGTTTCTGTTTATCTTTGATTATATTTCAGACGAGAATATGGTTACATTTCGTTTCTCTAAACGCGAAGTGAAGAATCGGCAGCTAGTTAATAAACACATCCACCTAGTATTAGACCCTTAATTCTTATAATATGTAACGAAAGTTGTGAAAAGAAGGTTTGGTTAACACTATCTGGAATAGTTCATATAAAAGTTTAGACGATATCCGTTATTCCGTAACTGTCTGGTAGGCAGAATCCCGGTGGACGAGAAAAGTGGTAGAGAAAAGTGGTAGAGACCTCTTTTATCTTAGCCTAACTTAACTAAAAGCCATTATATTATGTCATTTACTTGGCATAATAAAAATAATTTATCAAAAACGATAGCACAACACAGGTAATTGTTCTAGATATTTCAAACATTTTAGTACTTAGAATCAACTTACGCTAATAGTTAAAAAATAAATCTCTGCTACTTTTCTTGTCCACTGGGAGGCAGAGTATCCTAATCGGGTTTGGCAAGTAGCGTTCTAACAGTTTTGGCGAGGTCGATGGGCGGGACTACTCAGCCAAACCTGATTAGGACATTCTGCCTACCAGTGCCTAGACAGTTACCAGGTCAATATTGATTGTCCAGAGATTCTTGTTTTATTGTTTTGATTTCTTGGGGCAAGTAGAATAATAGTCCAAGTTAATAGTCAGTGCGTCTTCCTACTGCGCTCAGTCGCTTGTAGTCAGCGGAAGCAAGTGCAACGCCGGGCACACGTATATCGCTATTAACTACAATATAGCGCCCCATCCACCCGTCGGAAAGACGTATAAATCGTATAGGCTTAAAGGTATAATTAAGTAATATCCTATACTAAAAGATTATGTTTTTTTAATTTGAATTGCGTGCGATGCGGACGAGTTTACGAGCTCCTATGCCTTGATCGATTTTGGTGGGGTGCGTACGTGACGTAACTTTTTATATGCGCAAGGCACTCCCGAGTACGTCTACGAGTACTCCTTGTGTACTTTCCTGTATTATTTATTATATTACAGTCCGATACAGTAGTATATAGCTTGTACTTTATTATGTTCTAGAGCTAATTGAGGGCTTCTTTTTGAGCCTATATATAACCTTGTATCTTAAAAAATGACTATAATATAATAACATTAACCCCTCACGTTGCACTTGCTTCCGCTGACTATTACGCTAATACAAAAGGATTCTCCGCACTTTTCTTGTTCACCGGGAGATAGATAAGATCCCGTCTTTGACTTTTACACGTGATTTGTCCTGATGTAGACCTCTTTCGTAGCGCAATGATTTCACTCGGTCAACTTGAAAGATCTACTCTGCCTCAGATGTAATAATCAGTCTCTTTAATACGTGATCCTCTCGTGATCGGACCATCGAAGATAAATCTTGGTAGCTCGATCACGTTCTCAAATACTAGTAGGTGCATTCTAAGCCACTTTCTTCGTTCGTTCGTTCGTTGGCCTTAGATCTGCTCCACATGTACCCAACGACGAATGAACAACTTTCACATGGGATGTTATTTTGTTCCAAGTCAGGCTCTATACTCCAATTCCGGATGATATGATTCACCCCATTCCAGCCACGGTCACATTAGGCTATCTGCTCAACCGTTTTGAGGAAACCTGCATGGGCCCCGAGAAGACTTGATAAAGAGGAGGGGGACGAGCGGTTCTGGATCACCTTCTTTTCTTTTACAACACCTCTTTCTGCTAGAGTAGACATCTCTTCCGAGATTTTGTCGAGCCTCGAAACCATTGAAATCGTCTTTTCGCCGTGCCAACGAATCAAGCTAAGCTGGTTCACCAATAACAGGCTTTGCACCTGTTAAAACCTTAGTCACGGACGATCTAGTATCGTCTAGTACTGTCTACGCGGCCGTCAAGCTGATTCAAACCGTGATAGCGATACTGCCTTCAAACGGTCCCACATGCACGCTTACCGTCAACGGTCGACCTCGCTCGACCTCCCGTTGCCTGTCGAAACGTCAAACAAACATCCAGCAAATTCGGGATTCCTCGAATCCTGCCAGCTCAAACCCCGAAACGTCAAGTATTTCGAACGAGGTACCACTCGGTTATATCGGCTCCGATGTACAAATCACTCATACAAAACCCTCACGTGAAAGTGTTCCTATCTCCAAGATGCGTTGTACGAGGAGATTTGAAAATTATACCTCAAATAGGTCATGATGTCAAGTATACCGGTATCCCACCAATAGTTTGGTGGTAAGCATGATGCACATTCACACGCCGGCACTGCGTGGAACAGATATTCCAATATTTACGCGTCTGGCCCAAATGGCGGAGATCTGGACCCAAGGTCGCAAAGGCGCGTTTTCTCGTAACTTCTGAGCCTGTCTGTGCGAACACAGCCGGTTCCTGTTGTAGTTGCTCCATCAACGTCTGCACGCGCGGACGTGCCCTAGCACATCGAAATAGCTATAGCTCATAGATTCCAACTCAGGTAGTATTTCTTCGAAAGACCTTTGATCCCGACGTCAGTTTGTTGATGTTCTGAGGTATATTTGCAGCTTTCCTGGTTATTTAATCATCTTAAACCCGCTTTTTTTGGTAGTACTTGGGTATCACCATGTCGTCTACAAAGGAATCTCGTATTGGACAAGCTATGGTTCGTTTCTCTCTCGTTTTTGACACAGAATTTCTGATTGTCTCCTCAATATCTTCCAATTTTGCATTTTCAGAAGTTCAAGTCTTCAATTCTTCTAATGATGCTGACTTTTGACTCTCTCTTCCTCAGAGTGTTGATGACTCGATAATACTACCGTCACCCCTAATACGTGACCCGCCAAATCTACCAAGAAAGCCACCTCATTCAAGAACCAGCTCACGATCTTCAGAGTCAGAAGTATCAAGGGTGGGATCGGATTCTTCCAGGCCTCCCCCATCGATACCAAGCTCCTTTGCCTCGAAGACTTCTAGGTATAGATCAAACGAAAAACCACCATTATCGGCAGATAACCCACAAAGACTCTCGGGGATAACCTTGAGAAGTCATTCTAGAGAGAAATCAAGAACTTTTGCCATAGATCCAAATGGCTTGCCTGAAGATCGTACCGACTCAATTGATTTTGCTGCGACAAATAACGTTCCATATGATCAATCAATACAGGAAAAGCCACAGGCCCCTGTTTTGGTTGGAACTCCTCAATCTTTGGATATGGACAGGAAAGAATGGTGGAAACGAAGTATAGGTGATATCGTGCCTATGCTCTTCACTGTTCCCTTCTTCGTGATCGTTGCTACAATTATGCTGGCTCATAAGAAACCTGTTACTCCTGCGTTATTCACACGTTTGAACGAGCTTTCCAAAGTCGTACGTCCTGTCCTGCTCATGCATTTTCTCACTTGCTTCGTACTGACTTTGATAGATTGCAACAATTTTCCCACTTGAGTTTTCAATCAGTGTTGGAAGGGCGTTTGTAAAATACGTCAACTACAAACTGGAACAAGGAACAACTCTGGGTCTTCTCGAGCGATTGGTCAACAGCAGGACAGTCCTCGGTGCCGTCAGAACACAAGTACGGTTAGGATTCATTCCACTGCTCAGTATCCCCATCATAGCATTATGGATGGTATCTCCTATCGGGTCACAAGCGGCTCTAAGAATGGTCACCACAACTTTGGCACCAATCGTATCTCCTAGCAAAATTTCTTATCTCAGTACACGACAGCCCAATTATGCTGGCAGTTCACAGTTCGAAACTTCCTGGTTTCCAGGATTCACATCCCTATTCTCAGCAGCTCTCGTAGCGCCCGGAATTGTCAAAACTGGCCCGATGGATTTATGGGGAAATGTCAAGATACCCATGCTTTCAGGTCTCGCTAATCTCCAAGAAGATACCAACGGCTGGCGATATATCCCAAAAGAGAACTTTTCGGTCACCTACGCATCTCTGTTTGGCATTCCATATTCTGAACTACCAGATGGAAACAGTACTTTTAACATCGAGTCCACGTACATCGAACTGACTTGTGGAAATCGTACTTCCGCGCCAACGAGAGGAGCAAACGGTTTCACGAATCCGGGTCTCATTGGTGGCAATGGCGAATTCAGAAGCGGTGCAAACATAACCGAGAATACCAACTGGGCATTGGGATATCAGGGTCAAGACTTGAAAGACCTTCTCCCCGATACGGACAGAAATGCATCCCAATGTCTGGACTGTCTCCGCAATGACTTCACAACCACGAAGGAAGTTCCAGGAACACTTCTCTACCAAGACTTTACAGGGACATCGAAAGTTGTGTCAATCTACTGCGTCCCCTCGCAGGTCTACGTTGAATCCATGGTCCAATGCACCAAATCCCCTCACTTACAACCAACCTGTTCTGTGTTCGCACAACGGACTTCCATCCTCGCACAACCACCACCTGTCACCCTCCTTAGCTTCAACTCCACCCTCAACGGCCTGACATCTCTCCTCCCTCAATGCACAAGGAGATTACAGGGTATAGATACAATCCAAAACTATCTCGTCTCCCCCCTCTCCAATAACTTCATCGAATCCACCCCCACCCCCCGACACCNTCTCTCCTCCCTCAATGCACAAGGAGATTACAGGGTATAGATACAATCCAAAACTATCTCGTCTCCCCCCTCTCCAATAACTTCATCGAATCCACCCCCACCCCCCGACACCTCTCCAACCAAACCTCTCCCCCCAGCAACGACGAATCCCGCATCACCACCGTCGAAATGCAAGACTTCTCCATCCGCCTCAGCCAACTCCTCAACACCTTCCTGGAAGGCAGCACCGCCAACGCAACATCCTACCTAACCGACACGCTGCCTCTCTCCGACACCGCCCCAGCAACCTCCCCCACCCTCCTCACCAACACCATCACCTCCCGCGCCCAAACCCTCACCGTCCCCGCCTCTCACATCTCCCTCATCCCAATCTTCATCTGCAACTGGCCGTGGGCGATCGTCTTCCTGGTGTCCTCGTGCGTCCTCCTCTTCGCGTCGGTCTTCGCGGCGTATATCAGGAGGAAGACCCTCACGAGGGATTTCCTGCCGTATGTGGGGAATCTGGTGAGTCAGGGACGGGATGTCGATGTTCCCAGGGGGAATTTCAGGACGGAGGGATTGGAGAGGAGTAAGGCGATCAGCGGGTTGAAGGTTAGGCTTGGGGATGTTGGGGATGTGGAGGAAGGAAGAGGGGGGTGGGAGGTAGGTACCGGGGTGAGGGTTGGTGTTGGGAGGCTGGGGATTACGAATTGGGATGGGCAGAAAGAGGGGAGATTGGAGAAGGGACAGTTATATTTATAAATTAGGAAGGAAACGGTGGTTATCTTCTAGCTATGGCTTTGTAAAAGACTGGGGTTTAGATGGTGGAGGTGGTTCTCCGATTTCAAAAAAGTGCATCTTTTCTTTGTTACTTATTTCATTTACTCCCGGAAGAGTCCGACTGGCGTTCATATATCAATTTATAATTCAACATCATCTATTCATTCATTTGTCTACATCTTCCCCTCTTCCATCTTCGAATCTTTCTCCCTCTTCTTCCCAACTTATTTACAATTAGCAATTAGCGAAAACCATGAACCCCCTCCTAATTCTGTAAACCAAAATCTTTCAGCCCTCGAATATCTTTCATACCATCCATTCTCTACATTATAATACTCTATAATACCCCATAACCCCCATAACGCCCCCCACCCCCTAAAAATAAAAACAAAGATACTAAAAACCTCCCTATCCCATAAAACCCATATCTACAAGAAATATCCTTTTAGCATTCCCTATACCTATCACCCATCAACATGCTCATAAATCCATCGAACATATATGTTTTTCCGAGACACACAAGTAGGAGTGCTATAGCGCTATGTCGTAGGAAAAGAGCCGTATCCCTAAGCGACAAACTACACTTGCTTTCGCTACCACAACCTTAAGCGACAGCGCAAAGGAAAGACGCGCGGGCTATCCTCTGTAGCATACACGACCCGCAACCGACCTTATTGAACTTAAAGTGGCGTACCTACTCGGGATGTTTCGGCGGCCCTTACACGAAACCTCCCTTGTACACAACTAGTGTCCAAATATCTTACTAGGTACACATAACAAGAGGCAAATCAAATCACAATAGATCACACAAAGACGCTGTTTTTTTGAATTATAGATTGAATGTTTCCATCCGAGTCATTTTATCGGCCACCCCTTTTCTTCACTAATCTATTTGGACCATGCTAGAGGAAGAGAAGAGACCAAAAGGAAAAGAGACAATCCGGCGAGAGAAAACGCAGCAAGGGAAAAGGGAAACACATCAGGGACATTGCCTGGTAATAAAGTACAGCAGTGACCGGAAAACCCTTCCAGTCAGACTGCAAGTCGCTCCAGCACCATTATGCAAGAGGTGTCGGTGACAACACTGTCACCCCATGCCCGGACCCGACCCTCTCAAACACCCCACGAACCCGAACCCTCAACATTATCAACCCGCGACACCATTTTCATCTACAACTACAACCAAGAGTATTATTTACTTGAATGCCTTTCCGAACATCAAGACCTGGAGTTGATCGTAGATGGACAAGACACCAGCACCGGCGACACCACGGAGAATGTTGGCACCAGCACCCTTGAAGAGAGACTTAACACCCTCCTTGGCGACGATTTGGCGACCAGCATCGAGAGATGACTTGTACTTGACGGCCTCACCAGAGGTCATCATCATACGACGACGGATGGTGTCCAATGGGTATGATGCGATACCAGCACCAGTGGTGACACCCCATCCGAGAGCGAAGGAGGCCAAGAAGTTACCCTCAAGAGGACCAACAAGGAGGACAGGCTTGAGAGAATCGTACATTCCGAAGTAGAGACCACGGTAAACGACGATACCGAAGACGGAAGGACCGAATCCACGGTAAAGACCGGCAATACCATCAGTGGCCAAAGTTTTCTTGTAGACATCGATCAAACCGTTGAATTGACGAGCAGATCCTCCCTTTCCCTTGGCGTCGTTGGCAAGACGGGTACGGGCGTAATCGAGGGAGTAGACGAAGAGGAGGGAAGTGGCACCAGCAGCCTGCAACAGGTTAGTATTGATTTAAGAGTACTGATGGTTATGTAGACTTACTCCTCCGGAGGCCAAGTTACCAGCCATCCACTTGGCGTAACCCTCGTTCTTCTTGAAAGCGAACATGCTCTTGTAGGTATCACGGAAAGCAAAGTTCAAGGCTTGTGTTGGGAAGTAACGGATAACGTTGGCGGTGTTTCCTCTCCACAGTGAGACGATACCCTCGTTCTTGATGGTTCTTGAGAAGCAGTCGGAGATGCCGTTGAACTTTCGGTCGAGACGGCCAGACTTCAACATCTCATCCTAAGAGATTGTTAGACTTTGATCACAACATCACGATAAGGCTTTTGAGGAAACCAAATTGATGATGTTTGATGAACAGGTGCGAAGGTGTCGATCAAAATTGCCGAATGGGGAAGGTGGGCCAAATTTGGATATCATGTAAAGATTTGGACGAGGATAGTGAAAAGAGAGTGGGTGGATATAACGTACTTGGTTTTGGATCAAAAGCTTGACACGCTCGATAGGAGCAGCTGCGGTCTTCGAGACTGCGGCAGACACACCACCCACTGTTATCGCACGTTAGCCTTTGCTCTTATGTGTCCACCAAATACGCGCCCGATATGGCGGCCGCCTTGGCTGTCGAGGGTAGGAACTATCTCAATGGCAGAGACTATGGGAGACATACTCAAGAAATCGATAACGAAAGGTGGGCTGTCAGAATTGGGTCAGCTGAAGGTTCTTTGATAACATACTGTGATGAGGGAATTTTTCCATGGCGGCGCCATTGAGCGTCAACGACGTTGGCGACCTGCAAACCAAGCCCAGAGCGCATCTCAATGCAACCGAGAGGAGGTCATTGATATTGTGTCGATGCTCGATGCTTGCGAAGGCGAAGTCTTGTTGATGCCAGCTGGCCGCGATGGTGACGGGTGCGATGGTGGGAGGATCAGGATCGGAATGAAATTTTGGGATATACTTACACGCCCATGACGGACTCTTTCTTTGGTGCTTGGCCGCTCATTTTGGCGATGTACGACTGACTGTCAAAGGATGGAGGGGAGTTGGTTTAGGAGAGGTCGTTGAGAAGTTGTGATTGAAGAGAGCTGGAATAAAATTCTGGGAATGGGTTTTTGAGGCTGCGCCGTGGATGCCTGAGCGCCTGAGCGGTGCAAGTCTCGCACGTCGACTTTTGCCGTGCTAAAAACAGCACTGCGACCTCAAAACTGGTACATCCGGGTACTCGATCTGTCCCAAACACGAACATGTGCAAGCATGATTCAGGAATGGAATGCAGACTAGTCATGCTGACCGACTCTCCCCTCGCATGGTTGAAATATGGTTGGAATTGAGTGTTCCAAAACACCACCCGTGGACAATACCGGACATATCATACAGCTACAGCAACTCGATTGCCATCAACAGCCAACGCCGCCTTTGCTACGCACATGAGAGCAACCCTAATTTCTCCGAGGCCTCGGAGACGACATGCGGTTGCGGTTGCCGTGAGTTGATCAGAAAAAATATTAGCGGAAAGATGGGGTCAATAATCTGCATTGTACTCCATATAAAAAGACTCAAATGCCCTTTGCAAATCCCATCCCCGTGCAGTTAATGGATCACAAAGACCTCGAGGAGATTTCTGGCCGTTTGTTCGCTGCCACGAGCATTTGTTTCCCAGATCCAATGGAGGGCGTCATCTCCGAGCCACTCCACCTCATTGAACATGACATGGCAACCACACAGCGGAGCTTCGTCGCTATGTGAATTGCTTATTTATATAACGTGGTTTATCAGCGAGTCGATCATATCACCGAGTCGATCACTTTTCCTTGGCACTACCTCCTCAAACTTCAACACACGTTTT